AGCACCCCCTTTCTGGCTGAGGAAGACAGGTCCACGGCCAAGGGAAGACGGACACCTCGTTGGCTCGGGAACCACCATTTAGTCCACAGGAAGTCAGCTTAAATGAGATCTCTCAAATGAGATTTCTGTCCATTGCTCTGTTTGGAGTTTTTGGCGGGGGAGGGGGAGGCATTTTATTTTGTTTTTTCCTGTCTGGAGAGAACAAATTAGCACCCTAAAGGAAGGCAGTGGGAGGCAGAGGGCCGCTGCTGCCATCCCTGGGGGGCATGCATGGGAGTGCTTCTCTCCAGAGTAACAGTTGGGGCCCTCATTTTGCCAGCCCAGTGGAGTCCCTCCAGGGGCACCAAGCTCAACAGCGGGGGTTTGGACAACGGAAAGCCTGTCACTACTCTTAATGGGTTTGCTGCCCAGTTGGCATACGGCATACGAAACATTTGAGCAACAGAGAGGAGGATATAATTAACCACCAAGCGAGGGTGCCTCAGCCCCTGCCTTCTCTCCTCAGGGACAGACACGGCAGTCTGAGGCAACCCAAGTGTTGCCAAGACAATAGGCCAAACCAACGCCGATGGCCTTTTAGGAGCTTCCTGAAAGAAGGGAGAGCCATGCGCTGAACAGATTCTAACTGAGCATGTGCATCAGGCACTGTCCAGGTGGAAACTGGAAGCAGGTGAAGGAAATGCTGCCTCTCCTATCTTGGTTTCAACAAGAATTTGTGCCTATTTTCTCGTCCTGTGGGGGGCTGTGGGCTGAGTAGGAGAGGGAGGAACCACTTCGCTTGCCGCTCAACCTATAAAGGATATTGATTCACTTTAGTCCTGATGGGGGTCTCCAGGGACAAGCCATTGGACTCTGTTTCTGTCCCTGTCTTAACCATTGCTTCTTTTTTTAAAAAACAGTTTCATTGGGACATATTTCATATCTCGTACAACTCAATAGTTCACTCATGTCAAGAAGAGTTGTACAATCCCAATATTTCCTCATGCAAGTGAAGAACTGAGAGAACAATACAAAGCACTCCTAACTCTTCACCTCTACCGGCCATTCAAGTTCTGCTGTGTCTATCCCACTCAACAAAAACACAGGCGTTTCTTTTGATTGCAGAGAGCAGGCACGTCTGGCACTCCTTCAGCAGGCATCTCCAAACGACAAGGCCAGCACTACCATGATCACATCTAGGAACCTGGACAGCGATTCCAGCGCTCAGTCTACCTTACTGCTGATCCAGTGCTCCATAGCTCCCTCACTGCCTGTGGGGAGGGGAGCAGGGTCAGTCCAGGTTCCTGTGTTGCATTTGACCGGGACATCTTTTCATTCTCCTAATCGAGAACTATCCCATCTTTTTTGTCTCTTGCCACATTGCTGTTTTTGGAGAGCCGTGGCTAGTTGTCCTGTTGAATGGGCCTCATTTTGGATGTGTCTGTTTGGGTCATTATTAGAGCTGATGGGGCTGCACCAAGGGTAATGGTGTCTGTTTCTTCTTGTTTCACATCTGGCGGTAATTGATGTCGGCTTAGCCCATTACTGACCAACTGGTTAAGCTGGTGGCTCCCTGCTCTCGCCCCTAGAGATGCATTGTCCCCACTTTAATTCGTGATCCACGGAGTGACGCTCAGAGCCCGTGTGACTATCTACTTTCCTAACAACCATCTACCTAATGGCTTTCGCTTCCGTTGATGACCTTGGCTTGACTCTCTTACACTGTGGGTTACAAAATGGTGATTTTCAAATTCTACCATTTCTTACATATTAGCCAGTGGATTTCTATAAAGAAAAGCTTCCTCCCCATCCCTTCTCTTGTCTCTGAGTTGCCCGATGAGCTAATGGATTGGCTTTTAGTTGGTGCACTATAACCCATTATTTCACTATTCTTTTTGGTACATAGATTGTCCCAAGTTTGGCCATTAAGCTGGCTCCTCTGTCCTTTTGACATGACCCCCATTAGCCTTTGATCACGTCCTTGTTTTCTGTCCCAATGAAAGGTCCAAGCTCACTTTGTACTCTCTCTGCCATTCCCTAGTGAGGTCCAGTTCCTTGTGTTGGAGAGTGGAGTTTAGAAACCAACTCTGGGTGCTAGGTGTGCTCACTCAGCACTCTAATTATTTCTTAAACAAAGGCATAAGGATTGCTCATCAAATTTGCAAAAAACAACACTGCCAAGGAAAACCAAATGCGTATGATCACAGGACCAATATTCAAAATGACCTCAATAGGAAGATATCTGGGCCCAAACCAATAGATTTAAAAGAAATAAATAGGAAGTGCCGTGTTTACTTTGAAAAGGGTGAATGCATCATGTCAGGTCAGGAGGAACGCATTACTTGACCAAACCTGATGTAAAAGAGACCTAAACAAAACCAAACTCACTGCCATTGGGTCAATACTAACTCATAGCGACCCTATCGGGCAGGGTAAAATCGCCTCTGTGAGTTTCCTAGATTGTAACTGCTTCAAGAGTAGAAAGCCCTTCTTTCTCCCATAGAGCACCTGGTGGTTTCCAACTGCCAACCTTACAGATCACAGCCCAATGCATACCCGCTGCACCACCATTCACTGCCATCGAGTCAATGCTGACTCATAGTGACCCACTGTGGGTTTCTTAAACTGTACCTGTGGAAGGGAGTAGAAAGCCCAGTCTTTCTACTGAGAGCTACTGGTGCTTTTGAACTGCCGACCATTCAGATCACAGCTCAGTGGGTAATCACCACTCCAGGGCTCCCCAAGAGAGAACTAGCACCTGTTAATGAACATGAACCTATAGTGTTGTATGGTGTTTATGTTTGTTTCAAGCACTCATTTAGCCAGTACTTCTTGAGGGCCTACCATATGCCCAAGGAGCTGGGGTGCTGTTGGGTAAGGGTTGGATTGCTAACTCCAAGGTCAGCAATTCAAACTCCCCGGTCTCTCCGAGGGAGAAAGATGAGGCTGTTGCCCTTAAAAGGACTGATAAAAGCCTCTGAGGTTAGCTGTGAGTCAAGATGTACTTGGTGGGCATCGGTCTTGTTTTTGTTGTGTGTGTGTGTGTGTGTGTGTGTGTTTGGTATCACATGCCAGGCACTGCTCTAGAAGTTTGGGATATGTTAGTTAACAAATCAACCAAGCAAAGATCCCAGTCCTGAGCCATCAGTTTTGGGAGGGGGAAGAGGGCACAGAAGAGAAAGAAACAGCAATAAATAGAAAAATGGTTAGGATTTTAGAAGACAGTGAGTGTTGGGGAGAATAAAAAATAACTCAAGGTAAGGCAACTATTAGAGGGCATTCAGATTCTTCAAAAATGTGATATTTGGGCAAATATTTGAAGGGTGCAAGGACCTCAGTCAAGCGGCTATTTGGTAGAGGGGGTGTTCCAAGCAGAAGAAACATCTTCCTGTGCAAACATTCCCAAACGAGAGGAATTGGGGTTTTCAAGCAGTTGCAAGTGTGCTTGGTGCAAGGTTGAGATATGGGGCGTGAGGACTATAATACGGAACCTATAGACCACTGTGAGGAGGCTTGGTGGCACGGTGGTTAAGCACTCTCTTGGGAATCTAAATGATGATTGGAACCCATGGGCCACTTCATGGGGAATCGCAGCACCCTTTCTCTGTATGTTTTACAGAGAATGAGATCATTCTATTCTGCCCTCCAAGGTTGCTGTAAGTCCGAATTGATTCCACTTCAATGGGGTGTGAGTCTCACTCAACTTGCTGCCATCAAGTCAGTTCTGAGTCATGAGACCCTATACACTATTTTATTCTCAGAGACCCGTTAGTGGATTTTGCCCAGCAAAAGTCCTGAGACCTGGGTTTGGTTTTAGAAGGCTAACTGACTGCTAGGCGGAACAGAGATTACAGGGGAGCAAGAGTGGATGCAGACAGGCCAGTTAGGAGGTCCTTACGACAGCGTCAATGAGCAAGAGGCTGGTAACAGACCTGGGCAGGTGACAAGTGGTCAGACTGTAGACTGGCTAGTGGAGCGGATGTGAGTGCCGAGAGAGAGAGAGAGAGAGAGAGAGAGAGAGAGAGACAGAGAGAGACAGAGACTGATTTTTCGCCTGAGTTATTTAAGAGTGAATTCCCAATTTCCCAATAAATGAGATGCGGACGGCCTTAGATGGAACATAATTTATGAGGGCTAAGGGAGATCTGGAGCCACCAAATTGATTTCAGGACCCATTGAAGGTCCCAGTCAGTAGGTTGTCAGTCGCTGAGCTCCATCGGATGTTAGGAGCCAGAAGGCTTGATTGTGTGTGGGCGAACTGCTGGGATCCCACTCCAGCCTTGGGGTGGGGTCCTTCCCCTTCACAGTCATCTGCAAGTCCTGCCGTTCAATTCCTTATCCTAAGAAGGGGGACTCCCCCTCCGCCACGGTCAGCATTACATGTGTGGAGACGTCCCACAGCTTCCAGACTCTTAGGTGTTCAGCCCAGTCTCGATGTTGACTGATGGGGCAGAAATCATGCTCAGAAGCAGCTAACGCTTGAGCTTGGTTGGGTCCACTTAGTCTCGCCCACGTGGGAGCCAGGCTCACGGGAGGGCATAAGAGGAGATCAAGACCCACCCTCACGAGGCACACAGTGGAGAAGCCCATGTGCCCGCAGTAACAGAGGGTCCCAGAGGCGCGGGAAGGGGCTTTGGTTCCAGCCTTGTTGGGAGGCTCTAAGTCTTAGATCCTCTAAGTCCGCACCCTGCTCGCCCCCAAGCTCCCGCAGCCTTCTCGGTGGCTATTGATCCGTGGGTTTGACCTCTGCCAGGCACACACCGAGCTGGGTGCTGGGTGCCTCCAGGTGGCCCGAGTTCTCCCAGGCGTCCAGGAAGGGGCGGCAGGGCTGGGAGCGGCCTGGGAGAAGGCAGGGCTAATCGCTCCACTTCCTCCCCCGGCCGGCCCTCCCCACGCTGCAGGCGAGCTGCTGCCGCCGAGCTGGCCGGGCAGGCGGGCCTGTGTACTGGGCCCGGCCGAAGGGGCCTGGCTTCCCCGCCGCCCACGTGACCCCCATTTCCCACCCCCACCCCCCACTCTAGGTCCGGAGGCGGGCTCGGGGGGCCGGGCTGGGGGCGGAGCCACCGCCCTCGAGTCCAGTGTGGCAACCTGAGTCGGTCCCGGAGGAGGACGCCGCGCTCGCTGCTGCCCGGGTCGGCGCGCCGCGATGGGCCGGAGGAGTCGACCGCCTGCCCCGCTGGGCGCGCAGCCGCGCCGGCAGCCACTGGTGTTCCTGCTGACCCTGCTCCTGCAGCTGCTACCTGCACCCCCGATACGGGCGCTCACCCCCCGGATCAGCCTGCCGCTGGGTGAGTGACGGGGCGCCCCCTGAGTGGGGGGAGGGGAGGGCGGAGGTGGCTGTGACAAAGGAGGAAAGAGGGAAACCTGGGGTCCATTAGGACCCCTCTCCTTCGCAGAGCTCTATAGGTGTGGGGAGAGAGAAGAGGGGCCCAGTGGGGCGTCAGGCCCCTTTCTTCCATTCTCTTTCTAGGTGGGGAGGGGGTCTCGTTCGGTCGGCCGCCTCTGAATAGGGCGGAGATGGCCCCCTTGGACTGGCCACCCGCGGGTCCGTCTGCCCATCTGGTTGTCTTTGATGCCGACCAGAGGCCGCCTCAAAGGCGGGTTGCAGGGGGCCGAGTTGCTGCCCCATAAACACTGGGGTTCAGGTATTCCCGGCCAGCCGCGGCAGAGCTGGCACAAGGTCCGCACTCTCCGCCCTTCCACCTCTTGCCGGCCATCGGCCCACGCAGTCCCCAGCCCATTAGGGAGAGAGACCCCAGACCCTGAGAGCCACCGGAGTGCGCAGGAGTACAGCCTCTGGGGCTGGGTTCGGGCACTTGCTAGGTGAACACATCGGCCTCTGTGACACCCCTTCGCTTTCTAGTCCTCTCCGCCTACCCCCTGCCCCCTTTCAGGGGTTTCTGCTCCTACTCTTCCCCCTCCCCTCAGGCTTTGGAATCAGGGTGCCTGGATTCCAAGGCCATTGCTACTTCTGTTCGAGTTTCTTATCCTCCTTACAAAATGGGCAGTTTCCTCATCTGCAAAATGGGCACCGTCATAGGGGTTTGGGGATTACATGAACCTAGGTGAATTGTGTAGGTGTAACTTGTGTAGGTGCCGACTCTCCAAACCCTGTAACTTAATCAGTTGTCATACTATATGCACGAGAAAAAAGAAGGCATGAATTAGAGGTTATGGACTGAAACCCTACCACACTTCCTCCTCACAATATCCCTACCCTGTAAAGCACCCTGCTTAAAAAGGGGAAGAGGAACGAATCAGCACTTGACCCGAGGCGAGGGCCCTAGTGGCCCTGAGTAACCCTATCTGAAACGTGGCCCAATGGTAATGAGAAGGTGGCCTAAGTTCAAATCCTGCCTCTGCCCCTTGGTGACTGCACGACTTTGAACAAAGTATGTACACTCTCTTGGTCTCGATGTTTTCAGCTGCAAAGTCGAAATAATAATAGCACCTTATCTAAGATGGTGAGCATTAAACGAATTCATGTTTTAAAAGTCCTTAGGACAGGGCTTGGTACCGACAGAAACCGCTCAACAAGTGTTTAGCTATTTATTATCCTATGTGTTAAGCACAAGCTTCTGTCCACCTCTCACTGCCGCACCCCCTGCCCAGAGCTGGGGTGTTTCTACCTGCATCGGGGGTGGGGCTGGTGTGTAACCGCAGCCCCTCGGGTACGCCAGCTCACGGAGTAAGGACAAACAGGTGTGTCCAGGCCCAGGCCTGCTGCCTCGCTGCCATCTCTTGTGGTTGGACTTCCTTTGCCCTGAGACCCACTGAGCTGCGGCAAAAGGGGTGGGGACAAATGTCCTGCTGATATCTACCAACAGCCTAGGGGAGCCAGGCTGGGGGGCTGGAGGGGGCGCTCATGGGGAGCTGGGAGGAGGGGCAGAGAGGAGCTTCTCCCTGAGAACGGCTGCCACACTACGTTGGTGCCCACACACAGCTCTGTCCTGGACGAGTCCACAGATTGGAGACCCTTGCCCAGGCCACCTGGGCTCACCTATCAGGGCTGCTGCAGATGGTGACACTTGGAGGTGGTTTGCACAAAGGCACCTCATCTGGGAGTTGAAATGTGCATCACGCCCTATCACTAGTCTGTCCCCCTAGAGAAAAAAAAACAAACCCTTTGCTGTGTTCATCTGCCCAGATGGGACCCCATTTTCCAATCCCAGCAAGGTCTCCGGAGCTGGCTAGCAGCACCCACACCTCACTATGAGCACACCTCCCGCTGTACGGAGCTTCTAGGCTACTCCAGGTGTTTGCCTAGTGGGTCTTCCTCCTGCCCCCACCCACCCAAGCTGGCGCCCCTGCCCACACTGGTGCAGGCAAGGAGTCCTAGAGGGGAATGCGCTACCACCAAACAGGCCCACCCTCCTCTGAGCCAGCTTGGCCTGAGGCGGTTTCCTGCTTTGTCCCCAGGGGCTTGTTAGATGTTCCTGGCAGTGTGCCCGTCCCCGAGTAGGCCCATGGTGACCAAGGGACACTGGGCACAAGGACCTAGGGCCCCTCCCTCACAGAGCAAGGTTAGAGGCATGGAACTGGAGCCCAAACCTCTGTTTCCTGCCTCTTGCCCGTTCCTCCCAAGACAAGGGACAGTGGGATGTCTGTGGTTTAAAACAAGCTCCCTTGCAATGGAGAGTCGGCTTGTCTTTGCATCAGGGCTTTACACCAGAACCTTCTTTCCTGTTGATTAGAGGCCGATGCTGAGCGCCAGCCCGAGGGGTGCTCCGCGATGGTCGCAGCCTATGGCTGGTGGTGTCAGGGAGGCTGGGACTCCTGGTGATCTGAAAAAGCAGAGGCCTTAGCCAGGAAGTCCCCTGTCTCTGGAAAGAGCTCTTCAAAGAAGTGTTTGGACTTGTGGTTCTGTTGCACTGGAAAGCCAGGGATCTGGAGCTCAGGGGAGGGGGCAGGAGTGGAGCTCTGTGGAAACAATGGTCCCGGTGTCTGAGCCTCCAGGCCCCTGCTCCCTTGGCTCACAAAAGTTTCCTTGGGTCCCCAAATAAGGGCAATTAAGGGAGTTATTAATTCCCCCTGCCCCGAAGTGTCTGTCTGGAAAGCTCTGGACATTGTTTATGAATCAGATTGGAAATGAGTACGGCATTTGGCAGGAACCAGACCCCCAAGCCGGCCCCCAGGGTTATAGTGAGGCTGGCTGGTGCCTGGCCTCCTTCAGGCTCCACCAGCGCGGCCTGGGAGCTGGCTGTTCCACGGTCCTTCAGAGTGCAAACTGGATGTCATCATAGGGCGTCAAAGGCCAGCCACACACACCACACTTACTAACTGCCAAACTTGGCCAAGCACCCTGCCTGCTCCCAGCCTGTCTTCACACTAGCAAGATAGGAATAGAAGCAGGGCCCTCTCACAGGGTCCTGAGCAGGGCACGTGAAGCCATGCGTGTAGAGTGTGGGACATCGAGCCTGGCACATGCTGCATCTCCAGTCAAAAGTAGTGGCCCCTGCTCATTGCCTCAACTGGGCATCTGTGGCTGAGTACTAGTGTGTGCGGGCCTTCTGCTGGGGTCTCATATCAAGACCCCTCGGCCCATGCTGCCAGCACAGGATGCACAGAATCCAACCCCAGGAGGCAACAGAGGTTATAGCCTAATCGGAACAGACTGGTACAAACCCCACCCTCTGCCCTGAGCTGGGGACCAAGCAAACCCCCTCAAGACCTGGGTTAAGGTCTTGCTTAGCTTAGCTCATTTTTCAAACGCTCCTGCTTCAGCCCTTTCAAGATCCTCCTTTTTTTCTAAGAACCTTATCTACCGGAGACACACACACACACACACACACACACACACACACACACACACACACACACACACCCTCCCTCCCTCCCTCCCTCCCTCCCTCCCGCCCTCCTTTGCCCTGCACCGGTTCCACTCCAAACTCCTTGTAGCTCAAGTTCAGCTGGGTGTTGAAATGCCTGTGTGCCGGCCGGGGAAGTGCTAAGCTTGCAAAACCCGCCCGTTTGGGAGACATCTGGATACACCTGTATGTTCCTCCTCAGGTGAGGGAGCCCAGAGGATGACTTGGTGCCTAGTGAAAAGGCTGGACTGCCCATGTTGTCCTTCTTTGTTTCCTTTGCATGCACGTGCCACACACGTGCTTTGGGATAGAGAGACTGTCCTGTGGGTGGTCTCGGGAGAGGAGGAGAGCTGTGAAACCTGGGGCTCATTTGGCAGATTTGGTGTCTTCCGACTTCCTTGAGAATGCTGCTTTGCCCTGGCTAGCTGTCCTGCTGACCTTTCCTTGTCTGCACTCCGAGCCCCTGCTCTGAGAGGGCTCCCCTGTCACCAGGGAGGCAAACAGCGTACATAGAGGCCGCTTGTCGTCTTGGGCCCGGCCTCACCATGCCCGGGGCCCTTCTCTGTTCCTGGTCCTGTGGAGCCTCCCTGGCCACTCTTCAGCCAGTGCAGCGCACCTCTCTGACTGTCACCCACTGGGCCTCCTGCCCACAGGTGCCACAACTGGCACCCTCCTGTTACTGTGCCAGCATCCAGTCCCCCGAGGAAGAGGGACTAACAGGCATAGAGCTCCCGAGAGCACCAGGCTTTTCCTTATCCTGCCTAGCAAACGGCAGGTAGAACAATCCCTATTTTATAGATCAAATAGCTGAGAGGCGACCAAATGGCACAGCCCCACCAACCCCCAGCCTGTGGTCTTCCTTCTCGCTCTCTTCCACGCAAGGGCTTCGGGAAAATTTCCCCACAGCTCCTTGAAGCCCTTCTGATCGTCTGGTGGGCTCTAGGGAGGTAGAGGGGGCAGTCTGTGGTGAGTGGACTTCAGCAGAGCCTCCTCCCCCATCTTTCCATGGCACCCAAAGAGAGGGCGAGGCCTCAATTCCGCCTGCCTGGTCCATCTTCCTGAGAGCAGGGCCACTAACAGGAAGTGGGAAGGAAATCCGTTTGTCAGGCTGTGGTCCCAGATAGGAAGGTGACACCTTGTGCTAGTTTGTACAGACGCAGAAACTGAAACTCAGAAAAGCTAACTCATAATTGCCACGCAGCTGGAAAGAGCGAATTTGGCCTCGTTCTCTGACCTAAGAGTCATGGTTTTTCCACCCCTGTGAGAACAGCTGTCTCCTGCTTCACCTGTGAAATGTACGAAAGAAGCAAAGTGACCCGGCTCCGTCCTCGAACCATGGAAAGGTTCTGTTTTCCCATTTGGTGGAGGCAGCCACTGAGGTCACTCCCTGGGCAGGGCAAGAGATCCAGCCTGGGCCTGGTGGCACAGCCCGAGCTGGCAGCCCAGCCCACTTGACCAGGAGTGCCCTGGGACACACCACC